CACCTTAAAATGTGCTTTTTCCACACCCCCCCTTGAGGGTGTCGGGGGCCCCAGAATTCTGCCTGGACACTGGCTGCGAAGGGCGGCTCTGCTGTGTCTCCTTTCTGATTCCTTCTTCTTGGGTGACCGGCCCCCGTAAAAGCTTTTAAGGTTTTCTCTCTATCCTCAGCTTGGGAAGTTTCGTGCTGGTGTGTGGCCTCTGTCAACCCACGATCCTGAAGTGGGACACATCTCAGGTGTCAGCAGAGCCTAGTGGGCCCTATCCCCTCCCCAGGGGACAAGCCGCGGGGACCTTGGGACCCGCCGGGGAAGCTCTTGCACCCCCCGTAGAGGAAGGCCGCCCCATCCCCAGGCCACCCACTCCAGCAGCGGCCAGGGTATAGGTGGACGCCTGGGCAGTGCCAGGGCTGGGAGTCTGGCGTCTTGGTGGGCAGGCGGGAGGCGCTGGGGGTGCCCCCACCCCCCAGCAGCTGAGGTCACCTTCCAATCTCAGCCAGCTGCATTATTCATGGCCAGCACAGCGCCTGAAACCCAACCCCACAGCTCCGGTTCCCTCCTCCGGCCTTAGGACTATTTTCCCAAAAGCGGAGGGCGCGGGGTGGGGGTGGAAGCTGGGGGCCCCAGCGGGAGTCAGACACCATGGGGGCGCTGCTCACAGCTACCTTCCCAGGGCCCTGCCTCCGGCTGCGGGTCACCGGCGACGTCCCTTCTGACCGCTGGGAAGCCCTCCCTCTTCTCCACTGTCCCTCCCTCCACCTTCCCAAGGCTCCTGTGATCCTGCCACATGGTCAGCCGGGCCCCGGAGCAGCCCCCCCAGACCCCCGAGGGCATGTTCTGGGCAGGTCCCTGGCCTCCAGGGACTGTTCTAGCACCTGCCTGGCGCCCTGCTTGGGAATCCGCAGTCATCCACGACACCAGTGAGGCCGCCGGCCCCTGTCCCCTCCCGTCCCGCTGAGGTCTCGTCTCCCACACACCTGCCCCGTTGACGGGCGTCCCCATCCGAGTAGGTGGCAGGCCCTCTGGTCTCAGGCCTGCCCCCCGGCCTGGAATGTGCCCCTCCGACGTGGGGTGGGCACTGGATAGGGCGCCAAACGAAGCCGGTCACAGCACCTCCACCAACCATGCCGGGCGGGACCCCTGCAGAACCGGAGCCTCAAGGAGAGCAGGAACCTGTGGGGTCCCCTCCCCGCCACCCCACCCCGCTCAGCCCTTCCGCAGCCCCGCCCCAGCCCAAAGCTGTGACTGGACCCACGTTCTCCACTTTGGTCAAACGGATTTGACTGGGGAACTTACCGAGCTGAACTTCGCTGCTTTGGGAAAACAGTAACCACTGGCTGGAATTGATTCTATTTGTTTTAATAAAAGGGGACTGGCCCCAGTGGTTTCTAAAAGAAGGCCACACCCTAGAACCCCTCCCAGCCCCGCCC